CAGCCTGCAAGGTGTGGCTGCTCCAGATGACAGGCCATCTGTCAGGTTTCTCCTTGATTCATTCATTTTCAAGGGCCAGAACCATGACGACATTCATGGCTCTCCTTGGCAAGACTCTTTAATGACAGCAAGCACCCTACAAGGCCTTCCATGCAGAAGGTGAGAAACATTAGTTCCCGTGAATGCGGAACACACTGCACAAAGCCCAGCCAGAGCCGATGCATGCTATGAGGTCAGAGACCAGCAAGGTGTGCATTCTGGGAGGAATGTCTGAACTCGCCAAATCTCAGGGAAGTTGGACTTCTCCCAAGAAGAGTCTTGCCTGACTCTTGATAACTGTCAACACATCTCACAAAGGCAGGAACTCTTAAGCTAGAGATGCCAAGCAGCCGGGAACCATTAAGGCTAAAACTCAAGGAAACTGCTGAAGGAAACTGGAGCCTGGGTCCTTCTCTCTTCCCTGAGCTGAACCCTAAGAATGCAGGGAAGGAATGTCATTGATGTGAATGAGCTCTTGGCCTGGCTAGCATCATTTCACGGAGGCAGGGCACTGCAGCACAAGGTTTCTCGTTGCCATGGTGGGCTGCATCATTCTTTCTTATGATGACCTATCCTGAACACTGTAAGATGCTGACCAAGACCCCTAGGCTCTGCTCACTGGGTACCTGCAGCCCCTCCTGCTGATGACTATGACAACACTATCTCAACATGGCCAAATGCGCTCCTGATGACAGAGCCATCCCCACTGGAGAGGTAGCACTACATACAGTGACTAAAAGTGTGGACTCTGGAATCAGATCATCGACTTGTCAAGGGACCTTAGAAGATGTCTTAATTCCTCTGATCCTCTATAGCCTTAAAGGAACTAAACATCCCCAATATGGAGGCTAGGAGAACTAAAGACAGGCCCCATGAAGCCCACAACACCGAGACGGGATGGTGGAAAGCCAGCCTTCAGATACACACCATACTTGTTTGCCAGAAAAAGAAAGTGAGACTCAGAGATGTAAGGGAATCCTACAGCAGTGAGCAGCCATGCTGGGGTATGACCATTGTTCTGCATGGCTCCTAGAATATTCCTGAACTTCTGTGTCTGGTCCATCCTGGACTTTGTAGTTAAATAGGCAAAAAGAGAAAATCTATGTGCTGTGTCTCCAGATCCAGCGAAGTAAGCAGGCACACCGCCTAGCAGGTTCAGTAATGTCTGCTGCCTGCTGTGCCTGGAAGGAATGCAATGGGTCTCAGAGCTGAGCGCCTGACCCAGCCCAGTTTGTACAGTCAGACAGTGTCCTCAAAGACTTCAAAGCCCTTTCAGCCACATCATGCTGTTTAATCCATCAAGCAAAAGGCAGGCAGTTTTAGCATCAGGGGTTACAGTGATGACCCTGATCCTGAACTTTACAGGCAGTGTGGGCTGGGACATCAACCTCTGCCTATTTGTAGAAAAGGACAAAGGCACAGAGCCTCGCCTTGCACAGCCTGAGTCAAATCTCTTCACTTAGAAGCACACGATGGGCCGGTCCAAAGCATGTTTGCAATCAGAGTCTCTTCCGCGGTGTGGCGAGAGGTTAGCACACCCAGGTCTCCAGCCTGGTGCCCCTTGCTCAATGGCAAAGACAATTACAATTTACTCAGCATGAATAAGCAATCTGGTGAGTAAGTAAAAACCCACAGTGCCACAGCAGCTTCTCCTTTTCCTTGATGATGCTAGTTGCCTAAGAAGGGACAGTGATCCCCGGGACAGACAAAAGGATTCTTTCTCAAGCAGAGCTGCTTTAACCGCCCTGAAATTCACGTAGGGGGCGAGCTCACTGCTGGTGGCTCACGTTCCTATTTCCTCTGGTTGTGTGAAGACACCCGCATCAGGGCTGTGTCACTGTGGGGCCCGTCTCATGTGATAGGACCCGACCCCTGCCGAGACAGTGGGGAGGACCAAACTCCATAGCGAACTCTTTTCGAACAACATCTCTGATAGAGAAGATCCCAGTGCTGCTCAGAGTGTGGGTCTCAGCCCAGGACGATGAGAATTCCACGGGAGCAACCCCTTTACTCCACCCCGGAATGGTGTCAGTCTTTGAACATGGAGACCTATGTTTTAACAAGCTCATCACATGATTCTGAGGTTCGAGTTTAAAAACCACCACCCAAGAATGTCTTCCCTTCACCATCCACTTCATTAACTCACTCAACAAATATTTATTGAGTGTCTACTCCCTAATAGCTCTGCCACCAGACGACAGGTCTGCAGGACTGAAGAAAAGTGGCACTGTGTTGGTTCTTGCAGACTTTACACTCTCCTCTGTGAAGCCGTGGGATTTGGTGACCACTTTTGATGACAAACCCACGAAGGAGTTTAAAATGTGTTAGTTCTCCTTATTCCTGGAGAACTATATAGGTACAGAATCCCACGAGCCAGCATAGACGTTTAGTAAGCCTTGGGATTAGTCTGGGTGACAAAATGAAAGGAATGAAATGAGAATCGCGTGACACACACACACACACACACACACACACACACACACACACTCTACATTTTTATAGCACCCCCCATCCATCCTAACACTCTTCGCTCATACTTGTTTTTTTATATTTGAATTTTCCCAATCAAAATCCTAAGCTCCCTGAAACCAGAGGAGGTCTCATGAGTCCTGGCTTCCCAGGTCTTGGCCTGTGATCTAGAACTCACTCAGTATTTGCTGAATGAATACAATAAGGGATAAACTCCAATTAGCCTGGGAGCTTGCCCAGTGCTCTTCAAGTCATTAGAATGCCTGTGACAACCTGCAGTCTGCCCCTGGACTGGGAAAGGGGCCCTCGTCTGCCAATAACCACATGTCAGCAGAACATCTTCAAGCAGGGGCCTAAGTGTCCTTACAGTTTCCTTCAAGAGAACTGTGTCTTCTAGAAGTACCTCCCTATGGGTTGGAGGAGTGCAGAACTGAAATGGAGGGGCAGTAGATGAAGCTTCTGTCAGGGCTCAGGCAGACAGCGAAGATGCTGTCCCCTGCCCAGGAATGCTAGCCTGATGATATTAGCAGTAAGCAGCCAAGCTCTCAGGGATTTTGCTCAACTGAAAATCCTGGGGCAGCCTGAAAGTGGCAGGTTTGGCCTGGTTTGGACACCTGATGGACTGGAGCCAGACTGTGTACTTATTTGGGAAGGAGAAGCTTTAAAGCATGAGAAAGATGAGAAAGTCGTCCACGTGTTGAAATCACGTTATCCAAGAACAAGATAGAAATGAGGATTTTAGGTCATATTTCAGCTCTCAAAGAATAAAATCCCCACTGAGTCTGCCCATACTGCTGAGTTTTGCTTTTAAGAACATGATTTGTAGAAGAGGGAGCTTCATGGTATAAAGAAAGTGAAGACACTTAGGGGCTGCAGGAGGGCCCTAAGGAAAGGAGGATGATGGGAAAAAGCAAGAAAACAGCAGGGAGAAAGAGCAAGGGGAGGCACAGAGGGGCTGGAGCAGGAGAAGAAGAAGGAAGAGGAGGAGGACGGAAGGGGTTGAGGAAGAAGAAGGGGAAGACCTGGAAGGCTTCAGAGCTGGGCCACCAGTGAGCAGCTGTTGAAGAACAAGCTTTTCAATTTGTACTCCAGGAGGATACCCCAGAGGCTAATGCCAGCTGATACCCAAGAAGCCAGAAGCTGATGCCAGCTTATCCAGCAGCTTCAATGTAAAGACAGAGTACCCAAGCAAGGGTGACTCTTGCCCTTGGCTTTCAGACGTTTCTTGGACAAGGCACTAGTGGATGGTTTAGGGGCTCATACTCTGTGCAGGAAGAGAGGCAGACAGGGAAGAGCCGCCCAGCTCAGCCATCTACCCACTACTGTCCAGTGGAGGACCCCCACAGCAGAAGCAGTTCTGTGGGAGGCCATGGAGCCACACAAAGGCTCGGGTTACTTCTCCCAAGGTGACCTGGGGCTCTGGAAATGGGTCTGGACTTGTGAAAGTACAGGGAACCTTCCAGAACCTTGTTAGGTATTCAGAACAAGAGGAAGTACCAGGAAGTAAAACCAGCAAGGAACATGGAGGTCAGACATGATCAGCCAACTGTTGGCCTAAGGCCAGGTGCCCTTTAGCCTTTGAGGTCGGAACCTTTTGTGAATCTGATCTCAGGGCTCCCTCCTAGAAAACGCCATCTCAGTCCTTCTCTGTGTATACACCTTACTGTCTCTGTCTCTGTCTCTGTCTCTGTCTCTCTCTCTCTCTCTCTCTCTCTCTCTCTCTCACACACACACACACACACACACACACACACTCTGAATCAGTTTTCTCAAATCTCTGGGTAGGTGTCCCTGCTGTAGGCATTAGGGACATACAGATGATTGGCACCAAGCAGGTGATACATTTTTTTAAAAAAGAAAACGGACAGGAAAAAAATGGATGGAGCTGGAAGATAGTATGAAAAGTAAAACAGACCGGACACGGAAATAAAATGCCACGTGATCTCACTTCCATGGAGAATCTACTGAAGTCAAATACAAATATGTAGACACAGAGAGGAGCATGGTGGTCTCTTACGTCCCCATTTGGAGCCAAACAGACTCCAACATGAGACCCTGCTCTGGCTCTTACTGACTACCATCTCAGGCCAGTTGGGTCGTGACTGAGGGGGCTACAGTACTATATATTGTGCAAGCCCCGTCTGAAATATGTGGGACCAGAAGCATTCGGGATTTTGGACTTTTTCATATTTAGGAATATTTGCGCATATAATGACATGTCTTGGGAACTGCATCCAGTGATTGGACAAAATTCATTTTGCGGCACAGGTGCCTTGCACACATCTTCTGCAGAGTTCATGGTGCATCCACATTGTGTGTGACTGAAACTCATCACATGAGAGCAGCTATGGGATGGATTTTCCACTTAGTTTGTCGTGTCCACATTCAAAGGCCTGGATTTTAGAGTCCTTCAGATTTGGGATTTTCAGATCAGGACCTCAGAGATGTTGGCTCTCATCTCCCAAAACTTCAGAAAAGATTAAGGGACTTACGGGAGTAAATGGCACAGGTCCCAGAACCTGTGGCAAGCACCTGGTGAAGACTTCTGAAGAAGCACAGCTCTGGTAGGTATAGCCAGGAGGAGGAGGGCCTTCATGTGCAGCAAGGGGGTCCTGGCGACACAGACAATGACTGTGACATAAACAAAGTAGGTCCTTGGGAGGCCTGAGCCCTACTTCTTCTCTACATCAGTGGTACCTGAACCTTGTGGAGCCAGAAATTGGTGACTGGAGAACAATCAAGAAAGTGGATCATCTATAGTGTTTTCAAACAGATCCAACAACCAGGTTATGCGTAAGGTTTAAACTTGGCAGCCACCGGCCTGTTCTTCGGGTTGTGAAAGCAATATTCAAATAGCTGATGAGGCAGATTCCCAATCGAATGACGAAAGGCTCCATTGAAGATGCCGACCACAGATCCATCATGGACACTTCATCCTGTCTCACTCAGAGGGAAGGGCAAAGATCTACTTACAGAACATATTTCCAAGTGCTGGGACACAGTAGGCACTCAATAACATCATATTTGATTGGCAATTGAATGCAATAAAAATCACCATTGGACCCTCCAAAGGGATGGAGAAAATATTAAAGATGCAGCATCAGGTGTCCATAGTTATCCCAATGCCCCTATTCTGCAGGTGTGAAGAGAGACACTAGGAATAGTCATATCCTCCAAGATGCAGTACTTGCTATGGATTGAGTTGTGCCGTCACCCCTGAACCCACGTGTTGAAGTCCTAATCCAAAGTCTGTTAACCTAATCTGATTTGAAGATAAGGTCTTTATAGGTAATCAAGTTAACATGGGTCCCCTGCGGGGGGGGGGGGGGGGGGGGGGAGGACGACCTCTCTCTAAAATGACCAATGTCTTTAGGACGGGGGATGGGGGGATTTTGAGACAAACACACATCAGATAGAATACCACAGGGAGATGAAGGTAATGCTTCTGCAAGACAAGGAGCCTGAGAACTTGCATCAAACACCAGGAGCTGGACTGAGGACACAGAGGAGCTTCTCTTCTGGCCCCTGGATGAGAACAGCTCTGCTGCTGCCACATTGTTCTCACAAGAAACTTCCCTTCTCCAAGCCACCTAATTTGTGCTAATTTGTTATGGTAGCTGAGGTAACTAATCGAGTACTCTCTGGCCTACACACCACTGACTCTGGAGAACATGAGAAATTACTTTAGATGACTTTTACTGGGAAAACCTAACATCCCGAATCTTTTTAAGCTGGCATAAAGGGGATTTGGAGGAGGGAAGTGGGGCGGTGTTGGGGATCAAACTTGGGGTCTCACACATAAAGTCCTCTCTCACTGAGGCACATCCTCAGCTCCTAGGTACAGAGCTTGATGATTCATTCTTTTTACTGATATTTCATGGGTTCCCGTGGGATGCCACCATCAGCTTCCCATGCTATTGGTGGGCACCCATGAGCTCAAAAGCAGACTCAACCCAGAGCATCCTGCATCCAACACTGCCCTGATGCAGTGGTCTCTGGCGGCAGCCATGTAGGAGACCTCACTCTGCCCAGGAGAGTCAGGAAATATGTCACAGAAAATATGACGTTCTTAAGAGAGGATTAGGACTCTCCTGAGCAGGAAGGTAGATAAGGGCATTCTGAGAAATCAAACGCTATACAGTAAGTTCTGGAGTCCCCAGCGCAGGGCCACCCTGAGTCAGCAATGAGCTAGGACAGAAGATGGAAGGGGGGCAGAAGGATCCAGGTGGGCTGAGCTTGTGCTAGGCTGTCTGTGCACAGGTGCTGTATGCAACATTGTGATTTAGCTATTTGTTGTGATCTCTATGGGGAGACAAGGAAACCAAGCTTCAAAAGACCCTTGTCACTGTCCTGGGGAGAGATGACAAGGGCAAAGCAAGTCGCAGGGGGTGGTGGGAGGGTCTACTCCTGCTGTCAGTTGTCAGACATCATGCCTCCAGGCCAGGGAAGGCAGCCCAGGAGGAGGTGCTTCCAGACTATAGGAGAGCCTCCCGGTGTCTTTTTCCTTCGTTAAGGAAGGCTACAAGGGCTAGAAGATGGCTGTCAGTAAAGCATGGGGACTTGAGTTCCATCCCTAGAAGCCACATGAATGTCTGTCAGGCATGGTGGCATTCACTTGTAATCTCAGCACTGAGAAGTCAGAGACAAGCAAATCCTTGGACTCACTGACCAGACAGCCCACCCTACTTTGTGAGCTCCCAGACAGTAAGAGATCTTGTCTTGGGGGACAAACTGGACACCTATGGAATAACACCCTTATTGTTCTCAAGTCTCCATGTACACACACACACACACACACACACACACACACACACACACACACGCACACACACAACTTGCACACAATGTGCACCCTCATACAAACATATACATACGCAGAAGAAAGGCACCCCATCAGTTCTCACATCTTAAAAAATGTAGAGGGGGCCACATGAAGATGGTCTGGATCTAAGAGCCAGTGGGGACAAAAAGTGATGTGAGTGACATTTCTCTTCAAAGCTGTTTATATGCCAAGCTCAGCCTGCATCAACTAGGGTAGGTGCCACCCAGCCTAGGGGTCCCCTTCCTGGTCAGAATGCCCCAGAATAGCCTTCCCTGATATGCCTCCCTGAGCAGAACAGGGGTATTGCTGAGCCAACAGGAAAAAGCATAGAAACTGAGGCACAGAAATAATGAAGTCATGGGGGCTGGAATAGTCACCACCCTATCCCACGCAGTCCTGCATCTCAGAATCTTGGCCTATGTGGGACCTCAGTAACACCAGCCCAGACCACCAGCATGGGGACCAGGAGCCTCCACAACTTCTGCACGTGCTGGCCTGCTCACCCTTAAACACCCTCAGGAATGAGAGAGCACCCCTCTTTTGTAGCTCAGCTGACCTCCAAATGCCTCTGATCACTAAAAACTTCCTTTGCTGTGTCCCATTAGCCTCCCTGAGTCACCTACATCAAGTGATCATCAGATGAAGTTTCAACTCAGCTGTCTATTGATACCCTTCAAGCATCTGAGGCTAGCGCTCATGTCCCACCCCCTCCGGATGGTTTCAGCCTTTCAGGGTGAAAGCTGTCTGGTTGTCCAGCCTCTCCCCACTTAGCTTTACTTCTGCTCATGCGCCTCTGAACTCTTGCCAAGACCAGAACAGCTTCCTGTTTGACATTGAAGACTTTGATGCTGGGAGGAGTCTCACTTCATGTTCTTTACGTTTCTCATCACTGACAGAATGTGTGACTGAAGCAGTCTGAGAGGAAAGATTTCTTTTGGCTCATAGTTTGAGGGGCTACAGTCCATCAAGGTGGGTAAGGGATGGCAGTGGGAGCTCCTTATGCTGCTAGTTCACATCTTAGCAAATGGGAAGCAGGCCAGGATACAACCCTCAGAGGCCTGGCTCAAGTGGCCTATGTCACCAGCTAGATGCCATGTCCCAAAGGTTCCATGACCTCCCCAAATGGCACCACCAACTGGGAAACAAGTGCTAAAACATTAGCCTGTGGGACTATTACACATCCAAACCGTATTACACTCCAGTCTCTGTCTCCTGTGTTCTCAAGGATCTGAACAGACAATTCCCTCTTCAACATGCCATGACAGCTCTGTGCATTCCAAGGACATCTCTGGTCTTGAGATAAAATGTACAAAGGGAGAGAGCAGAAGATAGAGGCAACCATGGCGGAAGGCGTACCCTGAAAAAGCAGGACAAGGGTGTTGAGCAAGGGGAGAAAGGAGCCCCCTCCTTCCCATCGCTCTTCTTCTAGACGTGCACCCAACCTTCCACCTGACTTACCCGCAAAGTATGAAAATTAGATCCTGTGCTGCAGTCTGCTGAAGGATATGCAGATCTGATGTGTTTATCATGGACTGTTCTGAATTCATATGGGAAGTTGCCCCCCTCAAGACGGTCTGTAACAAAACTGGATCAAGTGAGGATAAGATTATCAGAATTTTTATTTCTCACACACTTGCTATCTTTAAATTTCCATCTTTTGCATGTACAATAAATATCCACCCTATAATTTATAAGCAAATGGAGACATAATATTCATCACCAATATTAACAGAAGAGCAAATACTAAGGTGCACGCTCAGCCCCAGGGCCTGAAAGAGTCTTTCTCCGGGAGGCAGTGTGGCAGCCCCATGCATATCTTCTACTGACGCTGGAGGTCAGGGGAGGGTGTGGCTGCACATGGCAAGGCCTCTGCACTGCGGTAAAAACCATCATTCTTTGTAGGACCTCTTGACGCCTGGCAGTGTTCTGACGCTGCATTAGTGGACCCGCAGTAACAGTGGCAGTAGCTCCAGTATGAGGGAGGGGACCGCTGGGCTTGCTCTTACCAGCTCAGACTACGCTCTGGACTTGCATTCTGTGTTGGAAGTGATAGTCTAAGAAACAACCCGGAAATGGTATCTTTTCCAAAGTCAATGGTGAAAGATGTCTAGAAAAGGAAAATGGATGTACCTTCTACCGCCCAAGAGTTAGAGCCAACAGGTGGGGTTACAGGCAAGAAAATGTAGAGACATTCTGCAGAACTTTCTCAGAGTGCTTCCTCCAGAGAAGAACTGCATTTTCTGACACTTAGAGGTGGCTTCCGGTTGAAGATGCTGCAGATCAACAAACCTAGAACATGAGCTGCCCACTCCCACCCCCGCCTGACATCACAGAGATGACTGCTGGTCTGTGGGGTGGTTTTAGGTGGTGCATGAATATCCATTTTATTTCAGTATTTAAATGGCGATTGAGGGGCTGGAGAGATGGCTCAGTGGTTAAGAGCACTGCTTGCTCTTCCAAAGGTCCTGAGTTCAATTCCCAGCAACCACATGGTGGCTCACAACCATCTGTAATGAGATCTGGTGCCCTCTTCTGGCCTGCAGGGATATATGCAGACAAAAACCTTTTTAAAAAAAAAAAAAAAAAAATTTTAAAAAAAAAAAAAAAAAAAAAAAAAAAAAAAAAAATGGCGATTGAGCCTATGTCCTTGATTCAAGTGAGGATGCATTTACTTAAGTCAATCAGTATTTTTTTTTAAAATCATCCAGAGGCTGGAGAAATGGCTTAGCAGTTACAAACATGT